CAAACACACACAAACACACAGATTTTTCACAGATTTTATTTGGCCAAGATTATGTGGCATTTCTTTTTTTCCCAGACACATTATGCTAAGAGATCACTAATGTCTACATCCTAGTTAATAACATGACACGAAATTAGATTGTTTCCTTTTGCACGAGATGATCACAAGTATACAGACATACAAATAACATCACCAAACAGCTTTTGTTTATCCGGTTCAGATAAATGACGCAAGTAAGTCTGCATTGGAGAAATTGATGTTTTCAGTAACACAAATTATCACTGCTCTTCAGCACTGCACTGTGGAGAAGAAATGACAGTTGAACCCAAGTTGCTGAAAGTGATGCAAACACAGTCTAATGAAAAAAATTATCGTGACAGACAGTGGTATAATGTGACATAATGACACAAATAACTCAATCATCAAAGCTATTGCAAGTCTGCAGAAAATCATTACTTTTTTTTCACCTGAATAGACGGAACATTATTCCCAAGAACATGAACACAAATTAAACAGACTTCAGACCCATTTTCACAAGCAAGTAAACCGCAGACCAATAAACCAAGACAGAGCTGCAGTTGAATGAATAAACCTACTTATTTTTTTACCTTATTTATTCATTTATTTATTCATTTATTTATTTATTTTTTCATAAAGGGCATGAAGGGAAAAGAAATGTCAATTGCTCTTATATAAACAAGATAACAAAGTTTCAACTGCATTAAAAATTTCAATGCCACAAATACATCCGCATCTTGCGAAAAATAACATCACCAACACGTACAGGTGGAAAGAAGGGCCACTTTGTTTAGCTCGTTGCTACTTATTTTCACAGTATGCATTATTTGTCAAAAATCTGGGGGAAAAAAAAAGAAGTGTAGCCTGGTATTACCAATGGTTTAGCACTGATGATGATAGAAGACAAGCCACTGAGGAGGGTTCATACGAACTGTTAACAGGGGTATGTGGTACATTCACATTAGAAAACTGCCAAAATTGCTATGGTGAATAGGGGTTTCACCTGAATGATAATAAATAAATAAAAAAAAAAAATGATGGGATCAGTACTACAAACAGATAACTCAAATATTCATTTTTCAGTAATGACCACTTCAAATAACCTTGCATTCTTATCAATGAAGAGAGACTCTTTCTGTACACTTAGATTCTTTTTTTTAGATGTGTACATATTTTTAATGCATTCTCAGGTGCACATCCTTGCACCATTATTTTTAGCCCACAGTATTAATCATCACTCTTTTCCATGCTTTGGGGAACTGGGTCAAGTAAAAAAAAAGTTCCGTTTACTTTTTCCCTTTCCTTTTCCTAACTAATCTGACTATGCTATTCTTGCAGCAGCACTCTACACGTAAGTGCCCTTTAGACTTCATTCCTCTAAACTGATTCCTCATCTCCGCTGAAAACGAATCCAGGCATACACATTTCAGAAAAGGTTTGACTTGGGACTAGTAGATTAATTCTTACAACTTAACCCTCATTACAGAACACTTTTATATTGACAGACAATCCCTCCTACGCTTCACTCTTCACTGCAGGTTAAATTTTTATCGGGCAGGATGATACAAAATGCACGAAGGCATGTCACTCTCGACCTGACCTCTGTGACCTTTGTAAATCCCTTAGATAAATATAGTGCTCTCACCTGGTGACTACACTACACTGCACAGGTTGCCTACCTGGTGCATATCATTATACAGAGCAGCAGGCCCCTATGCTTTCAACCACAGGCCCTTAAAGCTGGATTTTCATCAATATCAACTAGTCTAGCTGTGATCAAATAACAGGTGCCCTGACATGCACGCACACACATGCACATATGCACACATATACATCATAAACAGAGGCCTATTAGATCTCCACAGAGGAACATATGAAGAGGTATGGCACAGATATATACATATCATGGGATATGATTCCTTGTCTGTGGCCCTTAGAGAGAATATGTATGATGTCACTGGTGGAGTGCAGGTATGAGAATCATGATACTGGCAGATGATTGAACATAATTTTGGGGAGAGGACATGGGGATTAGGAATTAATTGTATTATACTTCTTCTTAGTGTCTCTCCTTGGAGTTGGAGGTTGTTAAGTGTTTTATACTAATTTTTTTTAATCATCATTATTTTTTATAATACGCAAATTATTTCTTTCCTTAGAAAATGTGACACAAACAGGTATCTTTCACAACTTTAAAATCATTGATGAATCTTTTCTTACAATCTGCACTACTAAACATTCTTCCTCCTTAGTTTTTTACTAATAAAAGAATTTTTTTTTTTTTGCTATATTTTCTTCCCATCTTTTTCTGTACTGCAAATGGCCTGTGCTTGTATCCATATTGAATTATAATTTTTCCCCCTTTTTAATAATTTTTACCAACTAATTACATAAATTCAGCCCAAACATCTGCTACTATTCAGCTACACCTACCACTTTAAAAGTGCACTTGACTCCATATAAACATAACCATTCATATGCCATAATAAAGCCTGCCCGAATTTTTAATACAAACAATATAGATATACTGCTTGATTAGGTCAAATAATGGGCTCCTATGGTTTCCCAGATCTCTTCAAGTGTGATAAGTTTAACCTGGCTACTGTCTGCACTAGGCTATTACTTGGAAATAAAAAGCTTTTGAAAATCTCGAGCAGAATGTGTTTTAAGTACGCTACCCTATGTGCTTGGTTATCCCTTGGAAATTGAGGGCTTTACAAGTGCTCTAACAGAAATGGTGTTATCAGCCTGTTGACATATGAATGTCAAGAATCCCATGGGGGGGGGGGGGGGGGGGTAGAGAGAGGACTGAGGTGACTTTAAATATGCAGTTTTGTCTATTTTCCTTAGAAATACAGTGACTGGTAGATGTACTGCATATGTATGTATTGCAGTTACTTATTTCCACTGCTATTGAGTGAATGGAGTTTTAGAAGCACTCATGCTTCATCCTGGACATTTGATAAAATTGCTTCACTGGACCAAGTTTTTATGATAGTTGTACCTGAGGAATAATGCTGCACTCAATTTGATTGGGGGGGGGGGTTGAAATAACTATGACAGTTCGTTAGAAAATAAAATGGACGGAAAACAGAAAGGTGATTTTTCAAGAAAATGGAATACATACTCCAAAAGTAAAAGTAACTTAAATGATAACTCTACTCTTCTTCCATTGGTGTTCTTCCTGTGACTGAAATTCACCGGTGTGTTCAGACTGACATGCTTTGGAGTTGAAAAATCAGTCTCACTTCTGTCATCAGTCTATCAGGTTACAGAATCTCCCTGTTACAACAAAGGTTTCCTTGTCAATCAGCTGATCAATGGCCCTAGTTTTTCTGATTTTTCAATCCAACAAGTCACTTGTCTTAACAGAGACATCTGTGCAGCTAGCAGAATCCTCAAGAAGCATTCACAGTAATTCTGTGACTGTGCACTAAGCTTAAGTTATTTCCAGAGCTACATTCTGTGAATCAGCACCTGGGCAACTCTGAATCACCAAACTTAATGTAAAAAACCTATTTTGTTTTTGTTTATATCTTTCTCCAAGTTACATGTAGAATTTATTCAGCAAGCTTAAGCGCTGAATAATGTGCAATTTACATTGTCTATATCTAGCAAGGTAATGTCCACGGCTAACTCGTGCCCAAAACAAATAAACAAACATACCACAATAAACAGTGACTCAAAGCTTCATCTGGGGATGGTGGATATTTATCATTCCATCAGACCTAATTCTAGGTAACACTTTATTATTCATTTGGACCTGAATCACTGAAAGGCTGTGAATCATTCTCAGAGCTGCTATTGACAAGAATGACCCCTGGAATTCCAGGAAATCCAGAGTCCATGGCCTTAACATCATACCACACAGGCCCTGGA